AAGGCCCTTATCTTCTCCAAGCGTCAGAGGCCCTCTCAAGACACCCCAATCTTCCCTCCGGTCTCCCCCCCATATCAGCCCGCCAATGTCTCCCCCCCCACACACACAGGAGGGCCGCTATTGTCAAGGCCCATATCTTGTCCAAGGGTCAGAGGCCTCACACCCCTAACGTCGCCCACCGTGTCTCAAGACACCCCAATCTTCCCTCCGTTCTCCCCCCCATATCAGCCCCCAATGTCCCCCCCCCCACCACCACAGGAGGGTCGCCCCAATCCTCCTCCCCCATCCAGTGACTAGATACTGTGTTCCTTCTGCGAGGCTGGGGGGCAAATACGTGGGGTGCCACTCTAGCACCACTGAACATGCACGGGGGAATTTGCGGGCCAACCAGATTCGAACCCCTGACCTCCCTGTTGCAATGCCACAGCTCTAACCAACTGAGCTACCATGCTTGCCCCTCGGCTACGGTCCTGCCTCTCTCTCCGTCGCTTATCTACCTTTCTCTATCTTCTGGACCCTCGCTATTTATGCTGGGACTACATTCAGTGCATCTGGACAGCTCTGGTCTGTATTTCAACAGCTCATGGGTGTACCAACTGAGCTAGGTCCATTGGTCAACTTTGGAATTTCCTCCCAGTTGTTTGAATGCTTGCAGAAATGCCCCTCGGACTTCCTGCCATTTCCTGCCCCTTGCTCACACAAATAATCGACAACAAATTTGAGGAAATGCCTCTCCCTGTGCCGCACCTCAAATTTTCTGCCGATATAAGGGCACCCGTCCGGGTCGACGCAACGGGAACATCACGAGTTTTGGTTCCTTGGCGACAAGGTTTTTTTTTGGGGGGGGGGGGAAATTGCCTGTGTCAGGTTTCTCCTTGGGCAGTTTCTTTCAATAAAATAGGATTGCTTGGATTTTGGTCTATGATGGTCCTTTCATTGATTTTAACTATTGGTTTTGTTTATGAATGGAAGAAGGGCGCTTTAGATTGGGAATAACACATTTGGGTAATCATTCGCTCAGTTGGTAGAGTGCCTCGGTTACACCGAGAGAGAGAGAGCCAGCGGTCCAAATCCGTTATTACCCAGATGGGGAAAAATAGCTTAGTTGGTTAGAGTGCTGGTCCGTCACGTCAGAAGTTGCAGGTTCAAATCCCGTTTTTCCCGGGCGGTATGGCTGAGTCGCTGAATCTGACTAAGCTTCCCTCCGCACCGTGCGTGCAAGATTTCCAAGCACACAGCTCTCCATCAGTTTGGCAAAGACTACTGACTGTTTCCCTTCCATTTCCATCTACTATACGGAAACTTTGACGCCACACTTCGTGCCGGCACACGGACAAAAAAGTTGAAGGCGTTCCCAAATTTTCTTGGTCGCGGCAACTTCGTTGCACTTAGCTGTTAAGCACACTGCGAGGACAGGGCTTTTTGAAAGGAGACTTTATAGCACATTTATACCCACCGCAAAACGTGGAATATTCCCCATGGATCATGCTGACATATTAAAACACCAGTACACCACATATCGGCCCGCGGGTCTCAGCATGAAAACCCCACCACTTTGGACGCCGCTGATGTTTTTTTCTCAACGGCGGGCCTGGCCACGCGGCGCCTCCGAGTCCTGCTTGCAGCGAAAAAAACTTTCTGCAAGGGTGGGGCCGCAGCGCCTCCGAGTTCTGCTTGCGGCGACAAAAAACTTTCTGCAAGGATGGGGCCGTGTACTTGCGGTTTAAGATTCTACAATCAGAGAATACTCGGAATCCTGAATTACTACTCGATAGTTCACTTCATGAAGGAATCTTGTGCGCTGACCTTAGCCCTTGCTACAATATCGCACTAAGTTCAAAAGAAGGATGCTGAAGAAATTTGGTCCACAGTTTCAATGTGCGGAGACGGGCGTGGTCCGATCCGGGGACATAACAGTCTGAATGGTTGCATAATGGGCCTCGCTCCAGTACTCACCACATGCACAAGTGACAAAAAATATGGTGATGTATTTTTCATGTTCTCGCCGAAGATTCATTCTCATTTTTCATATTTGGTGAGCATTCGACCACGGCCCAAAGTTACATCGCCATTCCCCCTTCCCTCTCCACCATCCTCCTCTGTCTGCTATATAGAATTTTTTTTTTGTTTTTTTTTTCTTAAACCAGAAACACAGAGCGAGGTCCTCCGAAGAGTGCGGCCATATACAAGCAGGCTGCGGAAAGGGCCACCCTACCGGAAATCCCAGAAATCAGCAGTGCTCTCGGTCTGTATTTTGGCAGGTCATTACATATATATATCATCAAATAGAACTGCCCGGTAAACCGTAGGCAGAGAGGGAGAAGAGGACATGTATATATCGTCAAACCGAGCTGCCCGGTAAACCCAGCGAAACAAAAAAAAAAAAAAAAAAAAAAAAAAAAAAAAAACGAAAAAACAGACTAAAAACTTAAAAAAAGTTTTCGAGAGTTTTTTTTTTTTAATCTTATTCATGAAGACCAATGTCTCTCTCTGAGGACTGATTCTACTCTATTGCAGAAGTTATTATCAGTCCACCACGATGCAGCCGTTCCACACTATTAATAGTCCATAATTGTGGTGCGGGCCAAGCGGCTGCATATATGGACTTGTATAATCATATAATTCCTTTTCCTCTGACGAAATGTATTATATGCAGCCGTAATTGAGGTTGGTACATTATGGACAGTAAAAATCCCCGATTTGACAACAACATTGGTCCTCGCTCCACTACACAACACTCTATATGCATCTGGAGCTCATACCGTCCCAATGCATTCCAGATGTTGGACGACTCCAAACGCACCTGGTCCTGTTGAGTGGTGGAGCGAGGCCCATTGGAACACCCAAAATAGCTTCTTGTCATCATCTGGACAGCCACTGTGAGTGAGCGTTTGACTACATGCTGTTGTTGACTCGGAGGAAGGGAAACGAAGTAAGAAGCAGAGAGTAGAGGGGTTTTGTTTTCTGGTTGGCTGTCAGAAAGGCCTCTCTATTCTAGACTGACACCGACTAGAACAAACTTCAACAAAGGGGTCCTTTTTTTTCCCTTCATTCTGAAACATAGGTCCTTCTGCAATGGGTGCCTTTTTTCGAAAAGGTAAAACGTGAGACAACTACGTAAGCAGAACACACAAAACTCTGTCGGATTATACCACCATATAGAATATAAACAAAAAGAAACGGCAAATTAGAGAGAAAAACAGAGAGAAACAGGAAAATAATAACCCTGCCTTTTCCATCACCATAGAGTCATAGATTGTGCCATTGTTGTCATTTGAATAGAGTGCTGCCATAAAGGGAACATCAGTACATTATAGTACAATCATACTTAGAAGAGTCAGTCATGGCAACGGTCAGCACCTTTCGATCGATTGGCCACCGACTTGCTGTCGCATGCCTAACGGCAAAAGATCGGGCCCAAGAACCGACCTCTCAGAGATGGACCAAAAATAGCACCTGCGGAAGA